AAACGAGCCTCTTTCTAAAGACAACTTTGAGGTCGCATTGTCCTTTACTGGTAGTAAAGATGAGGCTTGGTTTTATCTAATTCATATGCGTATTGAGCTTGCAGCTGCACCAGGTATCCAAGCTGTCGTTGATTGCATTGAAGCAATCAAGAAAGATGATCAGCAAGAAGTAATGCGTTGCCTCAAGATTGTCACTGATTGCATATCTAGTATGACAGGCATTATGAAAGAGATGTACCAAGAATGTAATCCAAGTGTTTTTTATAACAAGTTGCGAGTCTTTTTTTCTGGAAGTAAGGAAGGAATACAGTATGAGGGTACTGAAGATCCTGACACATGGCGAACATATCCTGGTGCAAGTGGTGTCCAAAGTTCAATCATTCCATTATTTGATATATTTTTAGGCATTGAACTTGAAGGTGGTACTAAAAGTTTTTTGGATGGAATGAAAATTCGTATGCCACTTGAGCATCGTCAGTTTCTAACCGACATAAAAAATGAATACAAGAAAGATGAATTTTCACATTCCATTTTGAGGACCTATGTACAGCTTCATTCATGCAGCAAGGACGCTTACAACAGTTGTGTAATCGCCTTGGTAGCCTTTCGACAAGAACACATTGACCTTGTGACAAATTATATTTCTAAGCCGAGTAATGATACTGCTACAGAAGGAACTGGAGGGTCTTCACTAAAAATATTTTTAACAAAACCAATAGAAAAAACTGAATCATTTAAGCTCTAGAGCTAGTAGTTATTGTGACCTGTCGGGCAGCAAAAAACTTACGAACTAATAATTGTTATGTTTTAGATTTATATGAATTAGATTTTGTGCTAGTTTCATTTATGTTGTCTTATTTTTATTAGAAATGATTATTTTTAGTATAGTTCAGCCCAGGCTATTTTTGGAACTGATTCGGTACATTAATTAATGCAATAATGCATAGTCATCGCGTCGCCTGGTGCTAGGCGCGTAGGCGAGCTCAAGTTTTCTATATTAATATTAACCTAGCCCATAGCAGCAAAAATATCCTGCTGGACAAAGGACAATAAGTTAACCTAAGAAAAACGGTTCAATAATGGCAACAGACTCAACTCAGCCTAAAGAACAAATTGTTGATCCTTGGACAGCTAAAGCTGGGGACGGTGAAAAGAAGATCAACTATGACAAGCTCATTGGTATATAGGCAAAAATGTCAGGCGTGAAATTATATATCTAATTATAGTTCAGTTTGGAAGTGAAAGAATAGATGAATCCCTTCTACAAAGGATTGAGACTCTATCAAAGAAACCAGCCCACCACTTTCTCCGCCGAGGAATTTTCTTTTCTCACAGGTAAAGTTATAAATCATAAAATTTA